ATGTTAACTCTATCCTTCCAGTTGGAGCTCTCAGATCCCTTTCTCCTACCATTTCCCGCCTTGTCACTGCACTACAACCAACCAGCCTCCTTCCTGGACCTTAAAGACACCCAGGCGTGTTCCTGCCTCAGGACTGGTGTCTCTGTCCCCTCTACCTGGGATGTTATTCCCTAGACATCACATGGTTTGCTCTCTCCCTCACCTCATTCAAGTCTTTGCTCTTATGTTCCCTCTGAGTGAAGCCTTCCCTGATCACCCTGTTTAAATTGCAGCCCAGGCCCCTAGCACTTCCTATTCTCTTTCCTAATTCCATATCCTTCCATGGAAATTGTCATTTCTTTTCATCTAATGTACACACTCATTTTGTTTATTACTTGTCTTCTTCCACTAAAATGTACCATCCTTAAAGAGAAGAGTGTTTTGTTTTTTCACTTTTATACCTCTAGCACCTGTACACTGCCTGGTGTGTAATAGGAGTTCACTAAATATTTATTAAACAAAAAGGCGCAAACATCTACAAAATTGAAGTTCCACAGAATACACATTGTTTAGGTCAGTACCAGACCAATGCAGAGACCTCAAGAGATTCATTTCCTGTGGATGTAAAACTCCCAAGACAGCTTAAAATAAGCCCACATTCAACCTGCAGAGTCCTGTCCTCTGCAAGGTCAAGAACAAAGGAGCTATGGCCTTTCCTCGCCACTTTTCTTCACCTGGCACTTGTTCATTTGGATCAGGCATCGCAAGCATGCCCCTGGGACAGTCACATGATGCTTGGGGACACAGTCTATCTCAGGGACAAAGAAGGGCTGTGGTCAGGAACAGAAGCTGGATCTGGGCACCCTCTACCCACCTGCTTAACAATCTCTTTCTTCCTCTCACCTTCCCTGCTCCCTTCCTATTGTCGACAACCCCACGGGAACCCTCGTGTACACACACCATCTATCAAGCAGAATGTTACAGAAAGTGCAGTTGACATTTCACTGTGTATTTAATTCTTCTAGTTTTTGAAAAGTTCATAGTAAGAAGAAAGTCATCACTGGGGGTATTTAATTAATTCTCAGGTGAGATCATTTCTTACATGTTTCGATTACCTCTAAAGTACTCTTCTTATTTCACTTTAGCTATTTAGTCGTCTAGAAAAGAACAAAACCATGTCTTTTATGAAAATATTTTGAAAGCTTGTATTTTATGTTTACTTCTTTTCATTTATGTTTTTCTACATTTTTCTTATTAGTGTGTATTCTTGTGGCAGAAACCTCTCTGACTGTAGGTTGTTGAAAAATTGTTTTTAATTTTGGTATAGTGAACATAATAGCTTATTTCTAACGAGACCCTGGGAAATGCCAAGAGATAATAAATTCTTAGCAGCTATGGACCCTGGAAATAGAATTTGAATAAATAGACAAGTAGAAATATGAAATATAAAATACACAGTTTAATTAAACTTACAAATGAATTAGATAATTGGTATTAGGAATATTTTTATCTCACCCATCACCATATTAGTTTCTTTCCTACTCTACCAGCTTATAGAGTAGGCCCTGGAACAGCATGAGCATAAACTGCACAAGTCTACTTACACGCAGATCTTTTTCAATCAATACATACAGTGCTGTAAATGTATTTCCTTTTCCTTGTGGTTTTCTTAATAACATTTATTTTCTCTAGCTTACTTTACTGTAAGAATACAGTACATAATAAATACATAACATACTGGTATGTGCTAATCGACTGTTCATGCGATCGGTAAGGTCTCACATCAACAGTAGATTATTGATAGTTAAGTGTTGGGGGAGTCTAAAGACATACATGGATTTTTGACTGCAAGGGTTTGGCACCCCTAACCCTCGAGTTATTCAAGGGTCAACTATCCTTCTTTTCTGCGATTGCTATGGGTAGGTTTTAGCTAGTTAAGTCTTAAATAGCTAAAGCAGTTAAGACATTTTGGTAGTAATATTGCATAGTGACATTGTAGCACATTTATCAGGAGTCATGGACCAATGGATTTTTTTTGAAACCTATTTCTTTTCCCAAGAACAAGATGTCGAGATTTTATTTAATGTTGAACTCTTCATGGATTAATTCAGAGAACTAGTCATTGATTTCATTTAGCTGGGTCACAAATTTTAATTTTCTGGTCTGGAGTTTTGTTTCAACTGGGCATATTTCCCAGGAAATAATATTTGCTTAAATACACAGCATCTGTGATTTTGTTTTGAGATTTACTTATAAGAGAACCCTCTGGGGTAAAGGATTTCTGAATGGCTTTTCCTTTTTGTATTTCTTGACAAATGACAAATGGTATAACATAAACACCCACTTTCCAGTATACATAGAAATAATTGACCTAGGATGCAAGGAAACAAGCTCACATCTTTTCTCTCCATCAATTATATGGCCCTCAGACACTCTGAGTTAAATGTAAAGTCCCTTATAAAGTCATGTATCCAGGAGCACACTAGTCTTGTACTTGGGTCTCATTTTCAACTCATTCTATAAATGGACAGTTCCCTTTCCACCTAAGTATCTCAGAAGGACACACACCAAACTGATGTCAGTGCTTAAATGTGGTAAAGAGAGAAGGGGCTAGAACTGAGAGTGAACCTCACAGGGAACTTTAGCCTGGTCCATAAACGGTGTAATTGTTTGTAAGACAGATAAACAGGCATTATTATATTAAATTTTTTAAAATTCAGAACTCTGCATTTTTCCTCGGCTCCAGGCCATCTACTTCCTTTGCCCTGATGTTACTGTGACTTCTGTTTTCCCCTAACTCAGCTTTTCCAGTTTTTCTGTGTTACTATGCACAGGTGTATTTTTAAAATCCTGCCCCCTCAACTACTCCCACTTTGAAGTAATATTTTATAACATACTGAAGTAATATTTTCGTGAACTTCCTTAGGTCAAGAGAATATATATGTAACTATTTATACATAATTTAGACTGTGCTCTTGTAATTAAATATATGGAACTTATTTGTTTTTGACTTCCAAGCCTGCCTCAGCCTAGAAAAGTAATTCCATGCGTATGTTTAGTACATGAGTCCACAAAAGCATTTTAATTTTCATCTCAATTCTCTCTCTCCCCCCACCCCAGTTTTCTTGCTTCTTTCTCCTCCTTTTCTTATAATTTAGCAAATGACTGCTTCCTGGTGAGCTTCTACCTATATAGCAGAGTGGAAGCATTATCTCAATCACATTCAACCACTCAATTCCCTCTTTCTCAATTACACAGCCCTAGAGTGATCTGGATGTCTACAGAGGAAAAAATAGTAAATGGAAAATAGGCCTTCATCATAAGGTGGCATTACCTGTAAGACAGGCCTGTTTATGGCAAGGACAAGCATCTGATATAGTAGTTTTACAATCATTTTATATCTAAAAACTAAATGATTGGACTTAGGAGTAGGTCAGATACATTATCTGCTGAGAAGCTGTTTATGAAGTGACAATAAACTGTGTGTAGATTTCTGACATGAGAAGGCCAAGAAGGAGCATTTACAATAGCTTTCTCATTTGTCTTCTTCTGACCTCTTTTCTCCTAAAATTCATCTGTCATAATGTCATTGTCAGGATATTTATAAAATACTGATTTGACTTTAAAATATGATGGTTCTGATTAAGAACCTTTGATAAATTACTATTATCTACCAAAGCAAGTCTGAATTGTTTAGATTGATGTACAAATTCTTTGAAAATATGGTCCATCTGACCTTTCCAAGTCCATCTGTATCCTCTGTACCAAGGAGTCTATGTTCCAGTCATGCAAAGCGATGAAGTAACAAACAGTCCCTGAACTTGCCAGATGCTAGTGCTCCTCTGTGACTTTCCCTGCTGGCAAAGAATGCTTGGTGGCCACCTCTTCACTTGTTAAACTCCTACACATCCGTCAGTGTCCAGCTCAAATGTTCCTCTCTGTACTCTTGAGCCTTTGGCTCAGATAAATATAAAATGGATCATAATAGACTTTGAATTATTGTGTACAGGTCTTTCTTTTATAGCCCATGAAATCCTTGGAGGGCAAGACCATACTGTACTTCTCTTGTAATCTCAGTGCCTAAAATGGAGCCCATTAGACAGCTAATGTTCATTTTATCAATGAATGAATCATTCATTCACATAATGACCATTCTGGTATGCTGCAAAAAAGAACTGCTCTTATCACTATTAGTAAAGCCCTTGGAAGGTTGCTGTTCTGTCTTAGTCACAGAAGGGACTCTGAGAGATCATTAATGTAATTGCATACTGGTCTTCCCAAGCTTTAGGCTGTTGGCAGATGAATTTAGCCACCGAGGAAAAAAAAGGGTGAGTTTCTTGCTGGCATAGGTTAACAGCTATTGTTCTCTCTCTGGATTGTGCAGTGTGTGTGGGGTGCCTTCAGGCCATCCTGGGAGATTGTGCATGAGGATGTGAGGGCTGCTGCACTGTCCATCTCCAGAGACTGGGGAGCTCTGGCAGGGAAAGGCCACCTGCAGCCTTCTGTTAATGAGGCTAGGCCAGTGCCATCAATGAGAACTAGGGACTGCCCCATTCTCTCTGTTGTCCTATATACCATCTGAATTAATGACACACCCTTCCTCGCACACCCTCCCAAATAAAAGCAAATAAGGAAAGTGACAAAGAGCTCATGGCTTTAATTCCAAAAACAAACAAAGCTGTTTTCCTGTCTTCTTCACCAGTGATGGTCTTTCTGCTACTGAGTGGGTCCAGGAGTAGCTACTGCCCAAAAGGCAGATGCAGAGCCCCCAGTCCTCCCCACGTGGGCCCCCTCCATCCCTGCTGTTCTAACAGGGGTGCCCTAAAACTGACATTATAGAGCCCCTTATAAGGAAGAAGAGGTGGTCTGAGTATCATTGACATATGCCTTCCTTGTGGAGACTCGCATTAAATTGTAAGCATTTTAAATAGAGATATTAGGAGTTTAAAAAATCAGAACATTAAATAAAATATATTTCAAATAACAGTGAAACTATAAAATGTCAGTACTAAAGAGCGTACCGCAATACCCTGGGGTTCCACACACCGTCTTCATGAGCACTTGATGGTCCACAATTTTGGAGAGTCCAAAATCAGCTAATAACACAAGAAAAAAAAAAGCAAGTGTTTTTCTCAGCTTATATAAGATGACAGAATACCTTTGTTATTCAAAATAAAACATTTGTTTGTTTTTGTATTTGATGAGTGGATGTAGATGGAGACCAGTCACCAGAGAGAGAAAAATTAAAAAGAGTAGCAATAATATTTTAAAACTTGCTTGAAATTGGAGGAAAATATGATTCCTAAATACATTTTATACTTTTTTTTCTATAATTCCCAGCTTTCAGCATATAAGCTATTTCTTCTTGAAGTAATAGTTCCAAGAGACATATTTTGTTAAATATTAATTCTAAGATTTATGAAACTAACTCTGAAGGACCATATAGAATTACTGATATAATTCAGAGCTTTTATTCCACTGGAACGAATTAAAATAAAAAATGAGACTTTCATAAATATTGAAAAAATGAACAGAAATATCAAAAGGTTTATTCTACTTCAAAATAATGTCATTCCCTAGTGTATTTGACGGAGAAGAATTTACTCTCGGATGAGAAAGATGACTTTTTTTGCAAAAATCCTTTTTATTTATTCCACAGACTATTACCTAGATAAAACATTATCAAAGGCTGCTATCATTATGGTCTACTTGCTGGGCTACATCTGCCTCACTCAGGAAACACCAGGAACACTCTGAGGCCATTCTTCACGAGAGGCAGGTGCAGAATTGATGCCATTTTAGACTTCAGAGATAAACCCACTTTTCCACGGAGGTGCCAGATCCTTATCAGAGGAAGCAGCAGGAAGTCCTTCAGAAAGAAAGGCGCTCCTGCCTAAATTAGAATCTATCCATCCATTTAAAGACATTTCTTTAAGGATAAAATCTTTGAAAGTGATGTCAAAGGAAATGGGAGCCTGCCTGCCTTTCAGGAGTGATTATGAGAACACGCTGCTGCCCTGCAGGACATCAGCATCTTTTCTTTAGGGTCTTGCATTCATAAAGCACATCCTGTGGTCTGGGCGCTTCCATGATATGTATGACTTAATCTTCAAAGGTGTTAACACTTACAAATGCAGTGAACTCATCAGATTAGCATTATAAAGGATAGCACCAAGAGAGAAATGTCCTTCAGAGGATTTAATTTAAAAAATGTGAAACCCTACACAGGCAGGACAAAACAGATTCTGCTAGGGAGAATTCATCAAAAATAAATTCTACTTTTTTGCAAATGAAGATTTACTTTGGAAGGCACATGGAAAGTAATATTTAATATGTTTTTTTCTAAAATGCTGATTGAAAGATCTCTTTGGGTAGATCCCAAAGTTCATCTTTGTAGTTCCTCAAAAAGCTTACTGAAAAAACAAACAAGGTTTCCAGAGTCAGATTAGCTGTCAGTGTACACGTTAGCATTTTAAAGGTTTGGGGATAAGTCCTGAAGAAATAAAAATCTTGTTGAAGTTGGCATTTTCTAACTTATTCTAACTCAGGACCTCCACAAACCACTTCCCCTCCTCCAAAGGGACTGGTGGGCCTTGTACCTGGGCCAAGGAAACAGCATTCTGTGAGGTGCACTTTGGGAAGCAGAGCTCAGTTTATCTCTGTTCATATAAACAAGTGACTCAGAGCCTAAATTCACTGACAGGTACCAAACATTTGGTGTCAGAGTTCTTGATTATCTAAAATTAAGCTCCATCTAATTTGTGGAATGAAAGTTAATAACCAAGAAAGAAGTATTATGTTATCTGTGATTTTTTTTTCTATATAAACATATTTACAAAATTTCACCTCCTGAAGTTCCTGTTATTTCTAAGAGTTGTGATTCCTTTGTGTGCCCAGCATTGCAACACGAACTTTAGGCACTAATTCAGGTTAACATTCCAGGAGAGCGCACAGGCTCCCAACACTGTGCCTTATTCCTTTACAGACAACAAATCTCCGAGAAAATTGAGTGGAGGTGACATTGAATGGAGCCATATTTAAAAATTCCACAGAATACATTTCTTCTGTTCTGGGAAAGGGGTCAGAAGAGGTCGGGCTATGTCCTCACCAATTTTGAGTGGTGCATCTGGGGCTGGAGTTGCATAGAGGAGATTTTCTGGCTTGAGATCACGATGGACAATCCCATTTTCATGGAGGTACTAATAGGGAATATAATGAGGTAACATTCAGGTGATTATATTTATGGTTCCAACATTCTTATCTACTATTTTCAGAACTTTAGTAATCTTTACTAAATTATGTGATTCAACAACACACACATATAATTTCAAAATAAACACCATAAAGAAAAACTATACATCGTTCTAGAAGAGCTTATATATAGTTACCTAAAAGTGAAATGCAATTTAAATAATATAGAACCAAATAAATAAATACATACAGAAATAAATAAAATAGAACCAATTGCCAGGAATAAAATATTTACCCCTCAGAGAATATTAGTTGCAGTTCTCTTTATGCATATCAGCTCAAACTGGCTAATTATTATTATAATAAAGTCAAGGTGCTGTGTCTTGAAATTTGGTTTATTATCTAGAAAGCATAATTGTATGTGTCATCTTATAAATTCAGAACCAGGGCAAAGACTTCAAATTATCGTTTGAACAGACATTTGGATGTAAGTAATTATTATAGAGAACACATGCAATCCAGGACGCTGTGCAGGTCTCTCTCCTCACTGCCTCAGGTGTCCGCCCCCGCCCCACTCCCATCCCTACTACTGCTCTTGCCTTCAGCAGGCCACATGGCCAGCTCCTCTCCAGACCATGCTCCACACTGTCACAGGGTCATTTATATGTGTGAATGTGTGTGTATATAGATATAGATATAGATATAGATATAGATATAGATATAGATACCAGAGAGGAAGGGAGAGGGAGAGAAACATCAATAGTGAGAGAGAATCATTGGTCTGCTGCCTCCTGCATGTCCCCCACTGGGGATCGATGCCACAACCTGGGCATGTGCCCTTGGCCAGAATCGAACCCTGAACCCTTCAGTCCACAGGCTGATGCTCTATCCACTGAGCCAAACTGGTTAGGGCCCACAGGGTCATTTTTGTAAAGTGCAGATCTAGTCAGGTCACTCCCTGCTTTCGCTTGCTTTTGGTGTTGAGTGGCCGCAGCAATGCAGCCTTTGCTTTTGTATCTCCAGCAGGGGTCGAAAACTCTCCAGGGGCATGCAGGCATGTAAAAGAATGAAGGGAGTTGGAAGCATGTGAAATAAGAGGGAGACACTGGGAAGTCCTAGGGTCTGCAGCTGTCCCTGGAGGGAGTATGACCCTGAGGAGGCCAAGGTGACTCAGGGTCAGCAAGATGCTGTCAGGCGGGAATACAGGCCCCAGGTTGCTAGCTCTTCTGACTTTTCAAGGTAAGATGAAAATTCATTATTTTTAATGTAGAATATTCCAAATTTTAAATGTTGGCAATGAATTTTAAACCCTGTACAGGCCAGACAAAACGCTCTGCAGTCTTTGATTATTGCTTTGGAATTTAAAACAATCCTTGGCACTCAATAGAAAATTGTTAAGTACATGAATACAATATCTTTCCCAACTGCTTCTTAAATTAAATCCTTATTGAGGCGGTGCTGCTAGGCTTCTCTTTTACTGTAAACTTACCTTGAGTGTTTGTGTACTCCTTCCCTTCAGCTACTTGTGATAGCCCCCAAAAGTACATGTGTGTAAAACAAATGTGTAGTGGAATCTGATTGATTTTAATTTTTTATTATGTAAAATTTAACTATAAAATTATATATTACTTGGGTGATATGTTTTTTAAAATCTTTATTGTTAAGATTATTACAGATGTCTCCCCTCCGCCCCCCATTGCTCCCTCCACCGGAATCCCACCCCCCTCCATGCCTTCAGCACCCTACTGTCTGTGTCCATGGGTAATGCATGTATGTATGTAAGTTCTTTGCATATAATCTCTCTCCACCCCCTCACCACCTTCCCTCTGAGAATTGTCAATCTGTTCCAAGTTTCTATGCCGCTGGTCCTATATTACTCACCAGTTTATTTTGTTCATTAGATTGTTTATTTTGATTATTACAGTCAATTGTTGATAGATATGTATTTATTATTCATAAGACCCTTTAACATTTCATGTAATACTGGTTTGGTGGTGATGAATTCCTTTAGCTTTTTCTTGTCTGGGTGATATATATATTGAGTGGCCAGATTATTATGACCACCCCATCAGTACAATGAAGTGAATTAGTTATGCAAATAATAATAAAACCTTGAGAGTATTTGCTTAGGAAGTTTTCAATATTCAGTATTTTTGGAAGTGTCAATGAAGTACTAATGGGGTGGTCATAATAATCTGGCCAGTCATAATAATCTGGCCACTCAGTGTATATTTAAATACTTTTATTGACTTCAGAGAGGAAGGGAGAGGGAGAAAGAGAGAGAAACATCAATGATGAGAGAGAATCACCTGCACACCCCCTATTGGGGATCAAGCCCACAACCCTGGCATGTGCCCTTGACCGGAATCAAACCCGGGACCCTTCAGTCCGCAGGCCTACACTCTATCCACTGAGTCAAACCACTAGGGCTGGGTGATACATTTTTAAAAATAAATTTTATATAACTGGCAGGCCTTTCATGTTTGCTTATCCTGAACACCATCCATCTGCTACAAATGATGTGCTCTGAATATGAATAAATACATTTAGTTGGTAACTATGTCTGGTCTGAAATTAACTAAACAAACTATGTAATTACATTGCTAGCAGTTTACAAATGTTCTAGTTCAAACCTGTTCCTTAAGCTCCAGCACAATTTTTCCACCTGCCTCTGTCTCATTTCCAGCTGGCTGTTTCCCAGGTACCTTCGGCTCTACATGAACAAGATGGAACTCTTGACCTTCCCCAGCCCCATTCTTCCAGCTGCTCCCACCGCAGAATGTGGTCTCTCGGTCAACTCAAGTGTTCAAAGCCAGAGACGGATTCTCTTCCCCACCCAGCTGCCTCCATCCAATTCTCAACAGAGTGCTGTCGATTCTAATTCCAAAATGTCTCCTGAACCGCCCAGCTCTCTGTATGTCATTGACGTGATCTTGGCTGGACCATCACAGCAGTCCTTTAACTACTCCTTTGCTTTCCAGGGTGCCCTCTTCGATCAACTCTCCACTCAGCAGCACAGAGAGCTAGGCGTTACTCCTCCTTGGGAAACTATCCAGAGGTTTCCCAATACTTTATCCCGGCTTTCCAGGCCTTGGTCATCTGGCTCCTGCCTCCCTCTCCAGTCTCATATTCTGCCACTTCCCCCTCTATTGCTCTGTTCTGCCCATACTGACTTCCTTTCAGTTCCTCCAACGCCCTCATCTCCTTCCTACCTCAGCATCCTTGACCAGCTGCCCTCTTATCAGGATGCTTTTTTTACCCCTTTCACCTGGCCAGCCCTCCTCATCCTCTCGGACACACTATAATGTCAATTTCTCAAGGAGGCTGCTCCTGTCCTTCCAAACTAACATATGTATGTGCCCACTCTCCTGTGTTCTCATTGATTCCCTTTTTTTTTCCTTTCTTTCTTTTTTTTTTTTTATAGCATGTCTGATTCCTTGCAAGCTTTACGTTTAGGATGTCTCCTACACTAGACTGAAAACTCTGTGAAGACATGGAAATTTGCATCTGTTTTCTCAGGTTCTCAATGCCTGGCACTAAGTATGCACTCAATAAACACTTTTGAATGATTAATAAATACTTCAGTTTTCCTATTGAGAAATTGGAATTCCTATTGGTATAATCTGCATTTTATATCCATTTGCCATTATTAATTTGTAATAGAAGCTAACATTTTTGTGCTTCCTTTGCAACAGTAAGTTCCAAAGCAACATTTTGATATGTTTAGTTGTAACAAGGCTCAACATCTGTGAGCTTATGAAACATACTAGGCTTATTGTTTACTGATACTCAGTCTCCTCAAAGATGCTCACTGAGTATCAGTTAGATGAATTAGATTTACAGCATCATTTTGAGAAAAGCCAAAACCCAATAAGAACATTTTAACTGAAGATAAGGCAAAAAGATTTCATCTTTGAAATGACGTTTTGAATAATTACATAATCCGTGTTTGTTCTTCTATATTAGCATTAAGTTGATAGTTATGGCTGAACTAATTTCTTCACATCCTTTGAAGTTGATCTGAACATCATATGCCTCAGGGGAGTTTGGGTAATGACAGTTGAAAATTCATCTGTTAGTTTTCTCTCCCGTTTCCTTCATGATTGAAACATCCGTAAATTGCACTTGCCAGCGTAATAAAATGGAACCGGGAAGTGATTCGCCAATGATAATAACATGTTAGGGAGCAGTGGGCAAGCCGAAAGACCTCTGTTAGTAAAGGAAGGAGCCCTGCTGAACCCCAGTGGGAGCTTATAGGGGACCAGGCCTGCTGGGGTTACTGCAATACTGTGTCAAAGATTTGCATAAGCTGGGTTTTCGGTGTGACATAGAACTGTGTGGATAAACCAATGCTGTGCTGAATTTTTTGCTGGTGTGGCTGTGTCATGGGGAAAGTGAGCAGGATGCTAACAGAGAGAATAACTGTGAATGCCACTCGGTGGGGAAACCTGCGGTTTCACGTTGGCGAAGTTGGTGGGGGAGAGGTCCCGGAGATCAGAGACTTAGTTCTTGTTTCTGATTTTGCATCACTTGGTGTAAAAAGTTAGAATGGGAAAACATGGAGAGTTTCAACAGGTTGAAAATTCATTTTCCTGTCTATTTATATATGTACATGTTAGAAAACTATATAAAGTACATGTTTCCAAGAATGGTCTCTATAGTGCTGGTGGAAAATGTCATTTACCTGTACTATTTTCCTTAGATTAAACTCAAAACCTAAAACATTCACTCAACTAAGACTTCAGTGCAACACTTATTGCTTTCAATAGCAATGATTAAGTGAGTGGTTATCATTTTAAATTAGGCATTATGCAAAAAATTAATGGAGAAAAGCAATGTGCCTTGATTTAAACATGTACATCTCATGCTGGGAGAATACAAAAATATAAAGAAAACCTAAGAAATGTGCATGTAATCTACAAATGAATTAATATGTAAGATGTATTTGTATATAAGATCAGAGCAAGTGCATGTTGTGAGGCAACTGTCCAAGGGGCTGTTGAGAACG